GCTGCATTATTGGTGCCGCACACACTCGTGCCACATGCGGCTGCTGCACAAGTGTTGCAAGCTGTCGTCGCTGCTGCAGCTGCTTTAAGGATATTCGTGAAGGAAGCACTTCAAGAGGCTGCAGCAGCAGCTGCCCGAAAACAGTTTCTTTGCATAAAAAGCCGCTTAGAATTTTTGCGCAAGAAAGTCAACAAAACGAAGAGCAAGAACCAGAAGCAGCAGCAGAGGTAGAAGCCAAAGTAGAAGCATAAAAATTAATAAGTAGATGGCAGCAATGATTACGTTTCATTTGCCATGGCTACATCTATCAGGATGTGTGCGTAAGTGTGTGTGCGCCTATTTTGCGGCGCATGCGTCAATACACACGCACACACACACACAAATACGCACGGAGAGCCAAAAAAAAAAAAAAAAAAGAAAAAGAAGAGCGAGCAAAAGAAGCTGAATAATACACCGGTTCCGACAGCAGCTGCGCCTCGCAGCAGCAGCGCCGCAGCCGTCGCAGCAGCAGCGTCTGCTCTACTGTTATCCTGCCCAACTGACTCGACGGTTGCCTGCCTGCTGCCTGCGTAGCCTTTAAGCCGTCTAACTGACTGCCTACAGCCAGTACACAACAACAACAAGAAGCACAGGCACATGCTGCCTGCCTGCCTGCTTGCTGCTCTGCTCAGCGCTCTCTTCGCTGCCTCTCTCTCTCTCTCTCTCTCTGCCGCGGCTGGCTGCGTCTTCTCCTTACATGGCAACTGGCATTCGTTGAACCCAATTAGTTCGACATTGGCGCTGGTCGCGCACGGTACACACGCGCTGCCTCTTCTGCTGCCACAGGCCATATAAACAGTTATAACAGTGCTACTGAAAAGTATATATACACACAGTTGATAAACAAAATGTGTAAAGGTACAAACAACCAAAAAATAGAAGAGATATTTTTTAAAATATGTGTGACCAGATATCATAAGACCGAAATTAACTAAAAGGCGTAATTTCTGTGTAGTTCTTGGCCGTGTATGTGTGAGTGTGTGTTGTGTACATGTACACACTTCATATTCGCACACTCACACACGCATCCTTTTACATTTTTTCCTTTGCTGCTGTTCGCAGTTTGAGTTTTTGTATATGATTCGTGCGGCCACCAAAAAGTATGCTACATTTTTGAGCCCAGCGCGCTCGTCTCTATATATATATATATATATTTATGTATATGTATATCTATATGTTTGTGTGTCATATACTCGCGCGCACACCCTCACACACACACACACACGCTTGCTCAGCGCGCTGTGCTTTGTTGTTGTGTTTAAATTAAATAATAAATTCAATGAGCGTCCAGTCGCTCGCTCGTTGCCTTTTGATGTTTTATATTGTGACATAAAAGCTAAAAAAAAGAAAACCCACACACACACACACACACAGCGCCTGTAAGTGTGTGAGTCAACATTTGCGCCTGCCATTCATAAGGCTCAACGTGTGGGCACTTGAGCAGTTTTTGATGTGTCGCCATTGTTGTCTGGGGGTCACACGCAACGAGTTGTCGCCAAGGGAGCAGCGGGCAGGGCGAGTAGCTTGTGTGCGTGTGTATATGTGTGTGTATGTGTGTGTGTGTGTGTGTGTGTGTGTGTGTGTGTGTGTGTGTGTGTGTGTGTTAAGCATGACGCAGCCTTCGGTCATTCGAACACAGAGTTAAGCATGGGGTAACACGCAATTTGCCTGTGCCTGAGCATTTTGGGCTTTAGGAATGATGCAATCATCAGGACACAAAACACGCAGCTGCGCCAGAGGGGAAAGCGATGGGTCGGAGGGGGGTCAGACAGGCAACACAGGGAAACGGGCAACGGAAGCAGGCTCCAATGCACGTAGGCACAAATCTCTGTTGTGACCCTATCACACACACACACACACACACGAACACTTATGACATGCACTCCTAAGTGGCTATCGAATTTCACATTTACACTTCCGCTGCAGACGACGAGAGACGCATTTCAAATTTGGTAGCGGGGGCAAGAAGAGACGGCAACAACAACTTCCGGTGCAGGAGCTGCTTTATATACGCGCATCCCTTGCAGCTGTGCCGCCGGCAGGTAGCTCAACGCCGAGAAGTGCCTGCACATCCTGCCTGCCGAGCATGGTTAAAGTGCTTGTTATTGAGCCTGTTGGTAGGGCCGTGTCATAAGCTCTGTTCCTGCGGATGGGTCACAGTCATGGCCAACAATTGATTGAAACTGTGCAGCTGCCATCGATCCTGACTGCCTGCTCCTGCCAACTTCTGCTGCTGTCAGCCATTTTGAGCTGTTTGACTGCATTAAAGAGAAAATAATCATATTGCTTACAATAGTTATCTACAGTTTATGCACGCTATAGTAGATATCTTCAAATAAGTTAGCCCTACTCGATTTTCCTGCGTATATTAAACTCTATAACCTTATTTCGTTGCTTCCTCTAGCGCATTGGCTGTCGCTTTTTGAAGGTCTTCTCCAATGTGGCGCCGCAGAGCACGGATCGTGTCGTGCAGACTGTGGGCAAGCAGAGCCAGGTGATTGATGCTGTGCGCGAGGTGATAACCTTGACACGTGACACGCCCATTAAGGGGCCGATACACAACTATGATCCGATGAACTTTGACCGCGTCTATGCGGATGAGTATGGCGGCTATGGCACCGGCACCGGCAGCACACGTCCCAGTCAACGTGGCGGCAATCGCGGCGGAGGCGGCGGCGGCGGCGGTGGTGCTGGAGGTGGCGGCGGTGGTGGATTCGGTGGTGGCGGCGGCGGCAACGGTGGCCGCGGCAATGATCGCTTTGGTGGCGGCCGTGGCGGCGGCGGTGGCGGTGCTGGCGTCGGCGGCGCCACTGGGCTCGGCGGCATGGGCGGACCACGCGACAATCCCTTCATCAATCCCTGGGCAAATGGCGGCGGCGGCGGCGACGCCGATGGCTTCGGCGTTGGCAACAATGGCGGCGGCTTCGGCGGCAACAACTTTGGCGGCGGCGGTCCATTCGGCGGCGGCAACTTTGGCAACAATTTCGGCAACGGGCCCAACGACTTTGGTGGCGGCAACCCGCTCGGCGGCGGCGGTGGCGGCGGCACCAGTAATCTGCCCAGCCTGGGCAACTTTGGCCAGAGCCAGGGCAGCAACAGCGGCGGCGCCGGCGGCTTCGGTGCCGGCAACAACAGCCTGGGCAACGGCCTGGGCGCTGGCTACGGCGCCGGCAACAGCAGTCTGGGCAACGGCCTGGGCGCCGTCAACAATGGCGGTGTCGGCGGACTTGGTGCTAACAACGGAGCTGGCGGCTTCAACGCGGGCGGCGGTGGCGGCGGCGGCAATGGCGGCTCGAACAACAGTGCCAACGCCTCGTCCAACATACCGCAGGGACATGATCCCAACAACAGCACACAGGTCACCATACCCAAGGATGTGAGTAGCTGCAAGCTCTAGACGCAAATTTAATGCTAATCTTTTGCCTTTATCCAACAGTTGGCTGGAGCCATAATTGGCAAGGGCGGCGGTCGCATACGGCGCATACGCAACGAGTCGAGCGCGTATATAACGATTGATGAGCCGCTGCCCGGCTCGAATGATCGCATCATCACCATTTCGGGCACACCCAAGCAAATACAAATGGCCCAGTATCTGCTGCAACAGAGGTTGGTGTCGCAAACAGACTAAAAGTATGCACAACAAATCCTTTCATATGACTTACTAAAATCCATACACACACACACACACACACACACACACATCCCAATCAATTCCCGCCTAGTGCCCAAACGTGCCTCTAAATCGAATCGAATCGAATCGTATCAATCAATCAGCCAATCAATCAGCCAATGCCTCAAACTAACCGTCGTCTCCAAATGCTTTCCGTATGGAAGACTAGTGATTTTGTTGTTTGGTCTCTGCTAATAACAATAAATCCCTTGTCTTCTTATGGCGCGCATTCTGCTCTTCATTTATAATAATTTCGGTGGTGCCACAAAACAATAAATAATAATAACAATAACAGCAACAATATATAACAATAAAATACATTTGTTCAACTTGTACTAAACGTGTCTCGGTCAACACACTCCCCCTCTCCCTACCCCTCCGCCTACCCTACCACATTCACATTCATTTACTACAGTGAAAGCTCGACGAGCACAAACTGCTGCTCACATGTTTTATAAATAATAATTAATATTTTAAAAATATTCCATTTTATTTAAATCATACAAAAAAATATATATTAAAAGCAAGCTTCAAAAAAAAGGAAAGTCTTTGAACAAATGAATACATTAAATAATTATCATTTTACATATTTTCAAATATTTGAAAATGATTGTAAATATCCAAAGATTTAATTGACGGCTGTTCCTTTTTCAGAGCTTTCACTGTACAAATAAGTTATATTTTTGCTTAATTTTTCAAATGCTTCGATGTGTGCGCTTATCGAAAAACGATTTTATTAATGCCTTGGCAATCGCTTGCTTTTCCACCCATCTTTCACGTTTTCAGTGTGCACGAGAATGGCAGGCGGAACATTTAAGTGGACTTCAACAACAACAACAACAAAACAGCCCAGATGAAGAGGAGGAGCTGCATCCACGTTTAACTTTAAAGTTTACTAAAACAAAAAAAAAAAAAAACAAAAACAAAAGAAAGAAAAAAGAAAACATAAGCAACTGATTATTGAGTGTCCTCCCCAATATCTAGAGAGTAATATAATTCTTTTCTAAGTTTAAGTATCTTCTACATACTCCCTACCCCGTCCCCCAAACCAACCCAACCCAACCCAACCCAACCCCCCTGCTACATATATATATTACAAATGTGCCCCACAAACCAACCTACAATTCTCTATACGAGCATACAATATATATATATATTATACATGATAAGGAGCATGAACAAATAAAGTATAAAATTAAACGAACTCCTTCTCGTTTCCGGTCTGGCGTTAACCGATTTGATGTGATGAGATGGTTGCGCCAGGGGCCTAGCTGGAGGCCGCCGGACGGGTCGCAGGTTGCGGATAGCGAACGGCCTGCCCGCCCGTGTACGGGCAGGTTAGCTGTGAATAGGCGCGAGCGACTTGTTACCTCGTTGCCAATAAACAGCCCCGGACAGCCAGCGGGTGAGGCGGATGTGAACGCCTTGTCGACCAGGCGCTTGTGGGGCCGCCTGTCAAAGCATAGCCCCACACACACGCGCGCACACACACACACACACATACACCCTAACTAACACACTAATCCATTAATCCAATCCTATTCCCCATCATTATCATCTCATCTCATCTCAATCCGGGCCGGACTAAGGTGTCATTCGAACCGTGCTGAGAGTCGGCCAGGCTGGAGGCCCGGATTAACAAATAGTTCAGTCGCAAACGGCGGGCTCAGGCAATTGGCGACCGCCTGTTCCAATCAGCCTTACCCGGGCACTGCGGATCTCTGCCCGGGCGGACCGTTTCTTACTCCGCCACTCGTGGGAATCACTAGCAATATGTATAACAGAAACTTTAATCAAAACAATCCAACAACAAATCAAAACCAGAATCACAACCGAATGCCGCAGAATTTCAATGCGCTCGAAGGCTTCAATTCCATGCGGAATATGCCGCCAAGACGCGAAGATTTTGGCGGGCAGCAGCAGCAGCAGCCCATGCCGCAATTGGGCATGCAACAATTCCCGCCGAATCAACAGCGCAACCAAAGCCAACAACTTGGCATGGGACCGGCGCCCATGTTCTTTCAAGATCGCTTCAATAACAACAGTTCCCTTCCACATAGCATGCAGAGACTGCCGAGTGGACAGCTCTTTCAAAACCAGGGTAATCTCACCTGGCCAAACCGAGATCCTGCAATCTCTCAGGAGCAATTCAATCGCAGTCCGTTGGATGCCCCACAGGGCAATGGAAGGCAGTTCAATCGCAGTCCGGATAGGGGGCAGGGACCTCTACGCGGCGGGCAGCTCAATCGCAGTCCGGATAGGGGGCAGGGACCTCTACGCGGCGGGCAGCACAATTCCAGCCCGGAGAGACCTTTGGAAATGCTGCGCGGGTCGATTAACATCAGTCCAGAAAGGGGACCGGGACTCTTGCGCGGCCCGTTCAACAACAACTCAGAGGGCGGGCGGCCAGGCGTTCTGCGCAGGCTGTTAAACAAGAGTCCAGAGAGAGGATTGGGATTCCTAAATGAACAGCAGCCGTCCAATCGCAGTCCGGGCAGAAACCCGGACCTCTATCGCAGGCAGCACAGTCGCAGTCCACACTGCGCAAGAGAATATAGCGGAGGACGGCGTAGCCGTAGTCCGGTTCGTGGCATGCGACGACTGTTGTCTCTGTCGCCTCCACGTAGACAGGATAGCCCATATCACGGCCTGTCCAGAGAATTGTCGCCGCCGCCGCAGCAATTCCGGCGAGATCTCAGCCCGGGGCCTAGACGTAGCCCATTGCCGTCACGTGGCAATGGGAACAATGCCGGCACCTGGCGTCCCATGGTGAATCTCAGCAGGCCGCAGAAAAGGGAGTTGAGCCGTAACGAAAATGAATTGAGACGGCAGCGTCAGAAACGCGAACCGAATATAACGTCACCGGGACAACCCGGTGGCAAGGGTGATCCAAACAGAAGAAACCTGAGCGGATCGCGCACCAAATGGTATGTGCGCTACCTCAAAAAGGGATTTCATCCCGATGAAGCCTTGCGCATGGCCAGGGAGCCTGTGCAGCCAGCAGCCAATTATCTACGGGGTCCCGATTTGCCTGCTGACGAACAGTTGCCGTCCTGCGAGAGTCCCCGCGAAGATTTCGCGCACAATAATGAGCGCCATGCTTTAAGTAGAAGTCCTGAAATGGAGGAGCGAAACGAAAGGAATCCCAACGAGATGACGGTAAGCCTAATGCCTGTCGGCTATCCAAATGAGAAGCTGAGCCATCAGGAAAAGTTGGATCTTGAGGAGGCCATACTGCAGGAGGTCGTCGCGGCTGGCGCCACTGCGGCAGCTCCCTTGCGTTTTTCCAGCATCCATTTTAAGGCGGGATTCCTGAAAGTGGACTGTTCCAATCAAGCCACCGCCGATTGGCTAGTGCATACCGCCGAACACATATACTCGTACAAGGGACGTCCTGTCGTGCCAAAGCTGGGTGATCCAAAGTCCAAGTTCTTCTACATTACGATTTTCCTGCCACGCAGCGAAGGCAAATCCGAGGAGTTTCTGCTGGGTCTGATTAGGTCACAGAACAAATACAACACCGATCTCTGGAAGGTAGTCTCACGCAAGGCCCAGGCCGGCGGCACCCTGCTCGTCCTCAGCATAGACAAGACCAGTGCCACTGATATAGCTGCTAACGATTATGCAATCTTCTATCGATACGGCACGGTTCCTGTGCGTGGGCTGCGTAAGAGATTTGGTGACAAGTCGCCGCCGCGACCCTCTAATCGTGTCGCAAGAAATTCCAAAGCCAAGCCGTCGAAACCTGTTAAGCAAGAAACCAATGCCACCCCCCAAAAGGCGAATCCTGTTGTGATGGATAATCCAGTGGAGGAGCCTGAGGATTCGCCGCTTTGCATTAATATCGCATCCGATGACGAGGGCGACAACTGAAGCTTATTAGCATTCTATTGGGTGACTTAAGAAGCAGATTGCAGAAACTATTTCAATAAACCTCTCAAAAGCAATTTCAGTAAAAGTCGTTTTAATTTTTCAGATTAGCAAAACGCTTCGAAACGACATAGCTCCGCCGTTCTAGAATTGACGCGGAGATGTGACGCTTCGAAACGACATAACCTCCGCGGCTCTAGAATTGACGCGGAGATGTGACGTTTCGAAACGACATAGCTCCGCCGTTCTAGAATTCACGCGGAGATGTGACGTTTCGAAACGACATAGCTCCGCCGCTCTAGAATTCACGCGGAGATGTGACGTTTCGAAACGACATAGCTCCGCCGCTCTAGAATTCACGCGGAGATGTGACGTTTCGAAACGACATAGCTCCGCCGCTCTAGAATTCACGCGGAGATGTGACGTTTCGAAACGACATAGCTCCGCCGCTCTAGATTTCACGGGGAGATATGACACTTCGAAACGACATAGCTCCGCCGCTGTAGAATTCACGCGGAGATGTGACGTTTCAAAACGACATAGCTCCGCCGCTCTAGAATTGACGGGGGGATGTGACGCTTCGAAACGACATAGCTCCGCGGCTCTAGATTTCACGGGGAGATATGACGCTTCGAAACGACATAACCTCCGCGGCTCTAGATTTCACGGGGAGATATGACGTAGAATTGACGCGGAGATGTGACACTTCGAAACGACATAGCTCCGCCGCTCTAGAATTCACGCGGAGATGTGACGTTTCAAAACGACATAGCTCCGCCGCTCTAGAATTTACGCGGAGATGTGACGCTTCGAAACGACATAACCTCCGCCGCTCTAGATTTCATGGGGAGATATGACGCTTCGAAACGACATAGCTCCGCGGCTCTAGATTTGAAGGGGAGATATGACGCTTCGAAACGACATAACCTCCTCCGCTCTAGATTTGACGCGGAGATGTGACGCTTCGAAACGACATAACCTCCGCGGCTCTAGATTTCACGGGGAGATATTACGTTTCGAAACGACATAGCTCCGCCGCTCTAGAATTGACCGGGAGATCTGACGCTTCGAAACGACATAGCTCCGCCGTTCTAGAATTGACGCGGAGATATGACGCTTCGAAACGACATAGCTCCGCCGCTCTAGAATTCACGCGGAGATGTGACGCTTCGAAACGACATAACCTCCGCGGCTCTAGACTTGACGGAGAGATATGACGCTTCGAAACGACATAGCTCCGCCGCTCTAGAATTGACCGGGAGATCTGACGCTTCGAAACGACATAGCTCCGCCGTTCTAGAATTTACGCGGAGATGTGACGCTTCGAAACGACATAACCTCCTCCGCTCTAGATTTGACGCGGAGATGTGACGCTTCGAAACGACATAACCTCCGCGGCTCTAGATTTCACGGGGAGATATTACGTTTCGAAACGACATAGCTCCGCCGCTCTAGAATTGACCGGGAGATCTGACGCTTCGAAACGACATAGCTCCGCCGTTCTAGAATTGACGCGGAGATATGACGCTTCGAAACGACATAGCTCCGCCGCTCTAGAATTCACGCGGAGATGTGACGTTTCAAAACGACATAGCTCCGCCGCTCTAGAATTTACGCGGAGATGTGACGCTTCGAAACGACATAACCTCCGCCGCTCTAGATTTCATGGGGAGATATGACGCTTCGAAACGACATAGCTCCGCCGCTCTAGATTTCATGGGGAGATATGACGCTTCGAAACGACATAACCTCCGCCGCTCTAGAATTGACGGAGAGATATGACGCTTCGGAACGACATAACCTCCTCCGCTCTAGATTTGACGGGGAGATGTGACGCTTCGAAACGACATAGCTCCGCCGTTCTAGAATTGACGCGGAGATGTGACGCTTCGAAACGACATAGCTCCGCCGCTCTAGAATTCACGCGGAGATGTGACGCTTCGAAACGACATATCCTCCGCGGCTCTAGACTTGACGGGCAGATATGAGGCTTCGAAACGACATAACCTCCGCGGCTCTAGATCTCACGCGGAGATGTGACGCTTCGAAACGACATAGCTCCGCCGCTCTAGAATTGACCGGGAGATATGACGCTTCGAAACGACATAACCTCCTCCGCTCTAGAATTGACGCGGAGATGTGACGCTTCGAAACGACATAACTCCCTTGATTTGGTCGGCCAGTTTTGATACAAATCCCAGCTGAAGTACCAGGCGAACAGACTCAGCTAGTAGGTGGATACAAAATAAAAATCAGCGACTGATATTTTTCTTTGCATACCTTAAGGGGCATATTGGGCCGTTAAATTTAAATTTGATTTTAAATAAGTCCCTCAACCGTCGACCAAAAATTAAGGTTATTTTTAATGAAATTGTTAATCGTAACGTTATTTAACGCCTAAATGGGCCGTTTTAAGGAGCATTGCGATGTGCCTTGGCCAAAAGTAAGTCCTCGTCCTGTTGATTTGGAATATGTTATAAAAAGGACGAAAGTCCGCATTCTAAGAGAAAAATCAGAAAAAATGAAGAACGACATAATCTCGACACGATCAACGGCGGAAGCGACATATCATCTTCAGAGAAATAAGTTTCAAAACGAAATCATTTTTTCGCAAAATATGACCTGTCGGAAACTTTGATGGCTTTAGATTCTGTAGACCTCCGCGAGTTAACCCTCCCAATATGAGCGGGATTGGGCTTTATTTGGTCGAGATATGGCCATTTAAAGTTTTCGAAAAATTTTCAATGGAAGGCGACCAGATGGGGTTTTTAGTATGCCAAAAATTATAGGTTTATATATTGGTTCACATTATCAGAGTGTTTAATTACAGGTGATTGTCATACAAAAAAAAAAAAATCGGAATGCTTAAACGACACCTAGATCAACATAATATAAGCTTGTGTATTAAAGAGAAAACATCGCCACGTTTTTAATTCAATAATAAATTATTAGGCATTAATCATTAAGTACAACACGTATTCAAAGATTGGATTTCTCCAGGCATATTACTAGGTCATTTAAAGTCTAATGATTAGAGTCTAGAGTATTTACATAATTCAATTCGATGCGATTAATATATATATATATATATATAGCTGCCAATTCGTTAAGATATATAAAATAATGAAGCCTGTGTGTGGATTAACAAATGTGTTTGAACTGGATATATATAGTAAATAGATGGGCAGATATTTAAGTGGATGCACTCAGGCATGGATTATCTTTAGCACCTGCACAATGGTGCACGATATACATATTTGTATACACATATAGAGACTTTTAGTAGCTGCTTATTAACTAGACTATTAATTAATATTGCATTCTGTTTGCGTTTTCAACAAATTCATATAACAAACTTAATTCCGCTTGGAGGAGTTGATTAAATATTTACAGCAGTGCGTCAGCAGATGTTTCTCGCCGGATGAGGAATTATTATTGTTGTTATTGTTATTATTATTGTGATGATGATGATGATGCTGCGGCGCGCCCAGCTCACGCGTATATATATCCAGACCATATTGACCCTCCTCAGGGAAGCTAAAAGATAAAAGATTCCAAATGAATTAAAAGTGTAAAAATATTATTGCCGTCCAACTCACTTAATGATGAACGTGACAATGTCATCCAGCGTGCTGTGCGTGACATATTTGGCCAGTTTCTTCTCCTCGATGCCGTTCTTGTGCAGCGTGGCCATGAAGTCGGTCAGCGGGCGCGACATGCGGAACTGCAGATCCAAGCTGCGGCCGGCAAAGATGAGCGGATCCTGGCGGGCAGAATTAGAACAAGTTAGAACCGGTTGCTAGTTCAATGCCAGCTGGTACCCACCTGATGTGTAATGGGTATGAGTCCGAAAAGTCGCGTCGCCTTGGTGGGACCCCACTCGCCGCTGGCGCAGTCCGGCAGCGGCACCATTACCGTTTGCAGCTCCTCGCAGCAGATCTGCAAACAGGCCAGAATTTAAAATTGAAGGAAGATATTTTCATTGAGTTGCTGCTCACCTTAAACTTGCACACAGACTTGAACTTCATGGGCTCGCCGGTCAGGTATTCCTGCGGCGTCACCGCATTGGCGAATATGTCGAGCAGAAAGGCGCCCGAGCAGGGCGCATGGACGCGGAACGCGACAATGTTGCCAATGACGGACTGCATCACGAAACGCTTCAGCGAGACGCCATCATAGGAGAGCTCCTCATCGCTGTCGTAAAACTTGAGGTTATAGTGGAATATCAGGCAGCTCTGCATGTCCGTAGGCATGGCTATGCGCACGGTGGCAGCGCCCGTGTCATCCGTGAAGACAACGGCGCCGTAGCCCTCGTCCGCAAAGTGCAGGCCATAGCGAAAGAAGAGCGAGCGCACAAAGGGCAAATTCTCGAATTCGCGCAGCGTAATGGGTCGTTTCAGCAGCTGCCACTCCTCCTGCAGCGGATAGAACTCGTAGATGAACTCGCGCGGATCGGTGAGAAAGTAATGGTCATCATACTCATAGCTGGAAGGAGGCAGAGAGACAGATTGAGATTTAGAGCGTGAGTAGCGGGACCCAGCACTCACCGCAGGCTGTCGTTCTTGCCGCGTCCCTGTTTGGGCGCCTCCTTGGCATTGACCAGATGGCGAGCGCCCCAGTTGCACTGAACGAAACGCCAGGCGCCGGCCACATAGACCGCATTCCACGAGTTGCGAAAACGTGAATCCTGAAACTTGACACCCGGCTGATAGCCGGCGCTCTTCGAATAGCCCTTGATCACCACACAGTGGAGGCCCGCATAGCTGCAGAGGCGCTTGAACAGCACATGGTAGCTCTCCGTGCCGTATTTGATGCCGCGCAGCAGTCCCATGGGCGTGTCGCCCCGCAGATCGTCGTCAAAGTGCATGGCGTTCAGATTCTTGACAGTGATCCAGCGGAAGATGGTGCGCGCCTTCTCGATGTCCGTGGTGCAGCGGCCCACTAGCTGGCGCACCAAATCCGTGAAGGTCTTCTGATCCTCCTGCGCCACCGAAATGGCAATGCGATCCACATCCTCGAACTCAATGGGATCCGTGTAGATCTGAAATTTGCTAACTGCCGGCGGCGCCGGCACCGGCGCAT